AAAAAAACGGTGAACAGTTTCCAGATATCTTTCCAGAAGGTTTTTTTTTGTGGCAGTTGAATGATAAGGTCTTCTCTGGTCATTATATTATATTTAAGTGAGCTAGGCAAAAACCTGTCAATGGAGCTTATTTTTGGAGCAGTTTCAAAGTTTATCACGAGCTGCACGGTTTCTGATGATGTGACTGTTCTCTCTGTGATGTTCACTAGAAATCTCGAGCGGCCCCCAATTCGACCATTGCCATCCTTTTGCGTTTACTTTTAGCATTACCCTTGGGAATGAACACTTGCGATCGTTTTCACAAAAGAATTTGCTGCAATATCACAAAAAGCGTTTTGTAGGAACCATTTGCTTGAAATTACGTTATTCCACAAACTTGCAAGAGAAAACTCTTTTGGATTGATCTATTTTGGGTGGAGTAGAGCTTCTAGCTTCCCATAAATCGCATTGCATCATCCCGAACTCATTTCCACGTCAATTCATTTCCTCTAGCACTATCTTATGAATAATCAACCCGAAGCGATTACCGCTCGCTTGCCAGAGCTGAGATCAATTTCCCGGATTGGGTAGTTTAAGGCTTCGGAGGGTTGAATGGCATCCAACTACCTAGGATGACCGATGGAAGCGAAAGGGCAGGGATTAGATATATTGGAAAGCGTTTTTGAAAAATTGCTAGGGTTAAGAAGTCCGTTGATGAGATTTTCTCAGTGGTTTTCTAATCCAAAGGATTTTTTTGAAACTCTTAGATTACTTAAAATAGCCATGGATTTTCGATCAACATTAGCGAATCCACTTAGGCTGGATATTTTTTGGTTAGTGCGTTAATAGGCACTCTCTAGGTCATTTTTCACGACTTCTAAGCCTCGTTAGAAGCAGAAATATCTGCCGAAAAAATCATCGATGGCCTCGCACCAGTTGGAACCAAGTGGGAAGCACCAAAAAAAATTCAAGTTGGTCGGCGAAGGAGAAGGTTCTAACCGTGGCGCTGCAGGGGCCGTTATTTTAGTCTCAATACAGAAAACCATGAGAAAACAACAGAAGGATAGAGGAGGGATTGTGTCGTGCCAGGCTCACTTCTGGGCACACGAGGGGTGTAGGGGTAGTACTGAGACCCACTTTTCCAGATGGGGGTAGAAAGGGGCGTTGTACGAGTTAGCGACTACCCTCAACAACTCCCACTTCACTCTGTCTGGGCATTGCTTCTATCTGATCTTAACCCGAAATGTAGTTGAAAACTTTTGGGTTCAAAGGGGTACGACGATATTAAGTGTGATCTTTGACTTCATATAGCAGACTATTTACTTCAGAGATCGCCCACTTTTGAGAACCCTTCAAACTACCGTACTTTACAAAGAGCTCTCAAGGAGCCAGTCAGAAGTGTTTGTCTGAACAAATGGGGTACTGAAAAATGTATGTAGTTTTTCAAGGTATCCAAATTAGATTGGCTAAAAAGGTCTTTGAAACAAGTCCTCCTAATAAGATTAAGTTTTCAGAGTCCAAGGTAGCATAGATAGAAAGAAAATAGAGAAATCATGACATATAATGCAATGATGATCGTTTGTTCTACATTCCGTGAATTTTACGGTTCGTTCTCCAATCTTCCTTCCCCAGCATACACCTACCTAACCACCTCAACATTCCACGAAGTTTTGAGCCCTTTGAATGACCCAGTGGCACTGAGTGAAACTGCGCTTTACGGTTCACATTGTAGAGGTGTATTATGTGAGGTTTCTGCATTGGGTTGAATGGTAATGTTGGAATCTTTTAAGAGCGCTTCATTTCAGGAGGATACAACAAGCACTGACTAGCAGCGGTTTTTCACTTTATCAACTAATTTTCATCTCATTATTTTGCGTTCTTCGTGCGACCGAATTGAATTATGAGGTATGTCTTTCGAATGTCCTGAAATAATTTTTTTTTGCCATCCACTGATTTCCAAAAATTTTCAGTGGAGCACCACTACTGTTTTTTAAACTCCGCAATGTTTTCTGTTCTTGCCTACTTATTTTTTCCCCTCATATTCTCATATCTCTTTTTTTTTCCTAAGGAGATATTTCTTTTGAACCACCCCCTTGGATCTCTTTACAGCTTTTCCTTCTGTTTCATTTTTATTATTGTCTTTATAGACATCACAGATAATAATATCAGCAACTGCTCAGTAATTGGAAAGCTCATGGAAAGTGGCGGAGATGGTGCTGGTGTTTGTTTACTTCACGCCACGCATCTAACCTACGTGTAGAATTTTTAGCTATATGAATGAAAACATGGCCTTCAGAGTGATGAGCTTGCGTAAGGCTGAGGAGCTGATATATGCGTCAACTACTGCATTGAAAAACTGCTGGACCATTTGGTCAACTATTGCACTGAAAAGCTGTTGGACTTCAACTTCATTCGCTGGTGTGGCTTCGCCACCGTACGGCTTGGAAACCTCAAACTCAACGAGAGGCTAAACAGATTTCATAGGTTGTTGTACTAACTGTGTGGGATGGAGTAATGTTGAGAGGCGCTGTTAGCAATACTTGTAGCAGGCCAGGACCAGGTTTCATATGAAGGTGCATGACGTTCTGGCCAACATTTTTGCACTCGCTTCATTGAGCTCATATTTCTTAGAATCGCCTAACTAGTGTAAACCTGGTTAGTGAGGGGCAAAAATGATTGACTCTGACAACTGAAATCTCCATAATACACCGATTAAGAGAAATGGATATTTATCAGTGTGAAAGAAAAAGGGTAGTTGACTTCTCCTTTGCTCCATTCACAACATACATATCTGACCTAATTTTCCGGGAGAACCTTAGGTCAACTTTGACTGTCCAGGTCAGCTTCGGCATAGTTGGAAGTCATGTGTTCATGCGCTGCGAAATTCCAACTAGAAGTCGAAACGCGTAGCGCAATCGCTAGGAACCGAAAGAACCTGAATAAGATGAACTGACAGATCGCTCAATTTTTCGGTTTACATTAGGTTTCATCTCATAATGTAGTCTGAGGTGAATACGCTGGTAATATTTTGAACAAAAAAAAATTCGCATCTTCATAAAAACCTTTTCAAACCGGTGCGGAAGATTTTCTAGGGGAAGTCAACATTTTTCCACCACCCTTTCCACTTTTTAATCTTGGTTATACCGTTTCAATTTCCATTTCAACTTTAACTTCATGATTTTTGAGATATTTCATAAAAATTTCGATTTTTGCTAAACAACGTTCTACAAAATACCCCTAAAGGTTGGAATAGAATCTTCAAAATGTCTATTTAAAGCCCAAATTATCACTTATATTTCGGTTGAATGTGTACATACGAACTCATAGTTTATTGTGTACACTCCCTCATTTGCTATGCGTTTTTATTCCATTTTCTAACTCTCATTTTTATCTTACCTGTCGAACTTTTATTTTCAACTATAATTTGTTTTTCTTTCATCAATTTCACTACTTTTAGACCTGCTGGTTTTTGCAGGTGATTTTTGCATTATTTTTGCTATTACGTAATTTTCAGGATAATATTAGCTCGACGAGTTCGTTGGCATCGAATCTTCGTAAGGCCTACACGAACGAGTGGGCGGTGCGGATCGCTGGTGGCTCTGAGGAGGAGGCTACGCGATTGGCCACCAAGTACGGGTATCTGAACTTGGGTCGAGTGAGTTCTTTTTTCTTCCAGCTCTGAAATACTCTCTACTTGGGGATAATTTGGGCTAGACGACTCGTCCATGCGTTCCCACAACATGTCTGTTCTGCGGTAAATTCAATTTTCACCTCAAATTGAATCTTATCGCCGCTGCCCGATGGACGCTTTATCAAACAGAGCTGTCCGTCAGACCAATATTCATCGAATNTAGGGTGAGAGGGACGAGAACAAATATAGGTCCTTCTGGAAACTGATAATGTCCATATCATGACGCGCTTTTCAGATCATTCCGGGTGAAGAGTATTTTTTGTTTCGTAATGTCAATCAGCGAAGTCGATCTGCCAGAAGAACACGAAGTCTTCAACTGAATCGGATCTCCCATGAGCCTGAAGTAAGTGGCTTCTAACTTCAAATGGCTGCTACTGCAGGAAGAACTTATAGATAAAGGAAGAAACCAATTTCTTGGCGAAATTTCTGTCGAATCGGGCACGAATCAAGCTAACCATAACACCCGATAGATAAAGTAAAAGGGTAAAGGATAAAGTTTTTTGACGTTAATCAATCCCGTCTGAGGGATGCGCCCCCGCACTCGACTTCCATTCAGAATCGTAGTGGCGTAATGAGTGCGTATGTGGCCTATACAATGACTTGCGGTGGCCAGCCGATGTACAAGTCAGTGCTTTTATCCTCCCAGACGAGTCTGGTACCAATCACCGACCCCGGAGGGATGGAAGGCTTGGTTGGCCTAGGCGGACATCGATCCGGGATTCGAAACCCTGACCGTGCGTGTGATATAGTGCGCCACTTGCCACTACACCACCTCCGCCCACCCGATAGATAAATTCAATCAAATTCCGTTATTTGACTCTTCCATGGATATTTCGATGTCGGAGACCCATTTTTCGCAGTTCTTTCTCCATAAATGTGTCGACTTCCTAAGGTACTTCAGAAAAGGAACGCCTTCTTTTTAGGTCCTGTCACTATCCGTTTGAACGTGTGGCAATCAGGAAACCCTGAAAAAAATTGAGAATTCGAAAAATTTTAGAAATTATCGAAATCACTTCCTTTCTCCCCTAATAGTAAAATCAAGATTTAGGATGTTTATAAAGGAACTCTCTAATTTGAATTCAACGTAACTTATTTTTTGTTTAGTTGTTTATTTGGTAACTGATGTATTTCTTCAACTTGCTGCTTGCTTGTTCAGTTATATGTTTGCTTATTTATTCTCAAGCGAGTCAAGCGATGGCCTGCAAGTCCCTTTCAAGTATTTCTGGGCAAACCTCGCTCTAACGCTTCCGCCTGTAACAAAAGATCCAATCAACCAACTGCGATATCATGAAAACCTCCAATATGTTATCCGCTTACAGTGTAGAGTCCTTTTACAGTACTCCTATGGAAGCTTCTAGAAAAATCTGAACCATAATGAAGTTTTGGGCAGATAAACACTTTCCGCACAACATTGTACCTGCACTAATAATAATTTTCGAAAATCATTTAATCGTTTGAGTGTTTTTAAAACCAGTTTCTATTTTAGGTAAAAATGAGAACTTAGTATGGAAGTTCCTGTCCCTATTTTTCACTTCCCGATTATATTATATTTGTATAAAATGGACCTCATCTGGACTTAGCATAAAAGGGCACACCGTTGTGGTGAAAAGTGAACTGGATGCGTTTGACGGGAAAGCGGATGATTTCCTTGAGAACTCGTGATCGTCAAATGAAAAATGCAACAGAGAGAATTCAGATTCTCTGGATGGAACAGCAAGTGGCAAAAAAGCGCGTCAAAAGGGACTATCGGCATTGGTCACAATCGAGACGAGCACGGCCGATTAATGTGAGTGCATAGGTTGGTTTAAATCCCCCAGAAATCTTCACCTGTTGACCTATTCAGGAGAATGATCTCAATTTTGGTGAAGACGAAATCCTCGTCAGTAAGTCACGGAACCGTAAACAACCGGATCCAAACGACCCCCTATGGACTGATATGTGGTACCTGGTAAGTTACCTTTAGGTAGATCTTCTTCCTCCAAAAAATTGCCTTTTTTCAAGAATCGCGCTGAAATCACCGGTAATTCCAAGATGGACCACAATGTCAAGGAAGCTTGGGATCTTGGCTATACCGGTCGTGGAGTGGTCGTGACAATATTGGACGACGGCCTCGAACGGACCCATCCTGACATTGCTCCCAACTATGTAAGTGTTTTAGAATCCCAGGGGACAATTTCAAGTGACACCGCTCCTCTTCAGGACGCCCGTGCCTCGTACGACGTCAATGACCGTGATGATGATCCAATGCCACGTTATGAGTATTCCGATGAGAATCGCCATGGGACGAGATGTGCTGGTGAGGTAGCGGCCATCTTCAACAATAGCCTTTGCATCGTGGGAATCGCCTATAATGCCCGGATAGGAGGTAGATACATTGCCTTGTCAGTCGCCCAAGGGATTTATGAAGAGTTTTGTTCTTTTCCAGGTATCCGAATGCTCGACGGAGATGTGACAGATGCAGTGGAAGCCGCATCGCTAGGCCATAACTCGGATTATGTTGATATCTACAGGTAATCAAATTCCACGCTCCTTCAACAAAACCTGACCCATTTGAACTCTTCTCCCTTTCAGTGCGTCGTGGGGACCTGACGATGACGGTCGAACAGTCGATGGGCCTGCAAAGCTTACCCGAGCCGCTTTTGAGCGAGGTATTCGAGAAGGACGACGTGGGAAAGGTTCGGTATTCGTGTGGGCATCGGGAAATGGTGGCAAAGATGCGGATTCGTGCAATTGCGACGGTTACACCAACAGGTTCGTTTCTGAATTTTGAGATCATCTCCCCCATCGGAACTTAGGATATCGTTTCAGCATCTACACCCTGTCGATTTCGGCCGCTACAGAGAACGGTAACATTCCGTGGTACTCGGAAGCATGTAGCAGTACATTGGCCAGTACGTATTCGAGTGGTGCAACTGGGGAAAAGATGATCGTCACCACGGATTTACACCACGCTTGCACCAACACCCATACGGGAACGTCAGCCAGTGCTCCTTTGGCTGCAGGGATCGTTGCGCTGACACTCGAAGCCAACCCGGACCTTACGTGGAGAGATCTGCAGGTGAAATTTTGAATCTCATTCCAATAGAGGTGGGAAGATAGGCGAGGTCCAAGGAATTCTGAGCCGGATTGATAAATTAAGGTCATTGCACAGCGGGGTTTATGGACGTGAAGGGATGTCAGAAATGGGTTTTGATGGGGGGACAGGGATCAGGGCTAAATAGGTCCTGATGCCTTAGTTGAATAGAGACGGGGAGGGGTTTCTACTGTCAAGACGGCTCGAACTTGCTTTTTTGTATTGGCCTCTGAGGACAGCCTTCTGAGAATTGAACGGCCAATGATCTACTGAGTATGTGGGACTCTCTAACAGGACCCTTTTTTCCGAGGGTCGTAAAAACTGAATCTCAAGAGCTAGCGAAGGTTCGACTTATCGACTGTTTTCTTGGTCCCTTCTGGAACACTTACTCTTCTGTCAAAGACTGGCTGACCTAATTATTCAGGGCGCTTTCAAGCTTGCTCTTTCAAAAAAATAGGCTGTCAACTGGGGCTGATCTTCTGCCCGGGGTACCATAGCGAGAATATCCGCGTCGCAACCGCGCTTCATGTCTCACATTCATAGACACTGCGCTTGAGCTTAGTTTACGAGTTAGCCATTCCGTACGCTTAGCATCAAGGAGGGCTTGATCCGTCCCTGATAAAGACAGCCAACGAGATTCTTTTTCAGGTCTTTTTTCATAAATTCAAGCATGTTGTTGCAGCATATCGTGATCCGAGCTGCAAAGCCGATTAATCTCCGTGCTGGGGATTGGGTGACGAACGGAGTTGGTCGCAACGTCTCACACTCCTTCGGATATGGTCTGATGGATGCCGGTGCCATGGTGCAGCTCGCTCGAAATTGGACCACTGCACCCGAACAACACAAATGTCGGCAGTTCTACCCAAGCCGTTTCAAGTCAGTGACTCCCTTAACGACCCAGTCTTTCTTGTCTTACCCAGGAAGTTCCAGGACAATCCCTCACGGAAATCGGCTTCAATTGCAACTGTACACTGATGGTTGTGCTGGATCACCCGACGAACAGGTAGTGTACCTGGAGCATGTGCAGGCAATAATCACTTTGAAAGCGCCAAAAAGAGGCGATATACAGATCTACTTGACAAGTCCTTCAGGTACGTTCTGGCGTGGGAGGTTATGTACCAATACTGAATTAGTAGAATCTTCTCAGGAACACGTTCCACTCTATTGACCAAACGGGCACGGGATACGAGTCGAGCAGGATTCATCGAATGGGCTTTCATGACCAC